GGTGTGGGTCGCATCCTGGGGGACAAGATTAAGGACCCCAATGGAAATAAGTTAGACAGTCCTCGATGACGCACTGACTTTCTTGGGTTATCCTGGGTGGCTAACCCTCCGGGGTTAAAAATCCGAACGAAATCTTATCTTATCTGCGCTGTATGACCTTTGCCGGTTTAGCGCTTTCTTTGTTTATAATAATAATAATGTACCTCAGTCTCCTGCTACCCTCTACCCCTGCACTATCCACTGCCCCGCTGCACTCCATGAACTAATAATAATCCCTCTCCCTCTTGCTACCCAATACCCCTGTACCCTTCCCTGCCCTGCTGCGCTGTATGACCTTTGAAGGTTTAACGCTTCTTTATTATAATAACTGCTATTACTAATAATATAATTATTATTTTTTATGAAATCTTACACCTGTGAAAATTATTATGTTAGCAAATCACCTGCAGGAGGCTTACGGGGCATCACCTGAATTATTACCTGCAAGTAAATTGGGTGAGGTAAGTGAGACTTAGTCACAGTAGGTCGATGAACTGCGACTCCTTCAACTACCCACTTTTTCACCACTATCACAAAAAGCTAGACCTGACATTATAAAATTAAAACCAGCTACTCTGGTAAAATTATATGGACCATGTTATTTTGGTTTACTTGCTGGGTACATAAAAATATAACTATTAGTGTAATACATATTATACAATAGTGCTATTAGAAAAGAACTTTGTATTACCACTTACCGTTTAATTAGTGTAGATGGATCACACAACACCTGCCTAACATCTAGCCCCTACACTAGCCAGATGAGATCTAAATGCAAGGACTAATGGTGTACCTCCATGGATGATGTTCCCTTATCTTCTGCCATCCACTCGTAATTCTCGAGGACCCGCAAATTTTCTGTCCCAATTCTTCAGTAGGGGACATTAATACGGGTTCCTATTACAAATTCAGGCCGAAACACCCCAAATTGGCCTCGGTTAGTTAGTTAGTTTAATATGTTTATTATGCACCCCATACCCATCCTGTGGGCGGTAGTCAAAAGATTACAGAGGTACATAATTGGTCCAGGGACTGGACTCCAAAGTTTTGATAGCTGAGCAAGTTACAGAGGTAATGAACTCACAATTTACAAAGGTAATGAACTCACAATTTACAAAGGTAATGAACTCACAATTTACAAAGGTAATGAACTCACAATTTACAAAGGTAATGAACTCCAGGTAGGTCTAGTCACAATCATGACAAGTTACAAAGGTATTTACAGATTACAGAGGTACGTAATGGGTCCAGGGACTGGGCCCCCAAAGTTTTGATAGCTGAACTAGGTACAAAGGTAATGAGCTCACAAGTTACAAAGGTAATGAATTCTGTAGAATGGTTACTTACGTTTATACATGGCTACAATCATGAACAAATTATAGAGTAATGAGCAATTCACACTTCCACACCCGGTCACAACTGTAATGAGTTATTGGTGAAAATATTGATTGTTGAGTCACATACATACACACACACACACCACACACACACACACACACACACACACACACACACACACACACACACACACACACACACACACACACACACACACACACACACACGACACACACACACACGACACACACACACACGACACACACATACACGACACACACACACACACACACACACACACACACACACACGACACACACACACGACACACACGACACACACACGGCACACACACACGACACACACACACACACGACACACACACACACACGACACACACACACACACGACACACACACACACACACACACACACACACACACACACCTCGGAAAACGCCGAATTCCATTGCACCATGCAGTCCAGAATTCACCCATTAAATTCAATATGGCGTCACTTAGCTGTTGTCCACCTCCCTCACTCGAAATTTCTCGAAAGGGTCAAATCAGCATCACATTTTATTACACAATTATTGTATTATTCAAATTTACCCATGTTGAATTTAGGAAAATCCAAAATTTTCCACAACCTAGATAAGAAAAACAATAATTTGTGTATCTGGAAATAAAACATGAAAAATGTCATCATCGTGATTCAATAAAATTTTCGGTTATTCAGCGCTGTATGACCCTTTTAGGCTTAGCGCTTCTTTTTTATTATAATAATTCAGTTATTCATAAATAAATTACTTATTCCAATATACTGTAAGTGAACGTATACCCGTAATTCTATATGCTTGGCGATCAAGAAGAAATCTCAACCCAAGAGAAACCTATATTTACAATGTATGGAGATAAGTATTGACCATAAGGGTTATCGCTGAAGATATTTATCTGGATTGATAACTAATGTAGTACTGCCTCTGAAAGTCTCATTTTATTTCTTGGTAAAGGGTTCTTGATGTAAGGCACTGGAACTGTCTTCCCTTTTCTTGTATCAAACCTGATTACCATCCATTTCCCAGGCACAGTGTGATCCTACGAATTTAGCGCATCCCCATGAATATAATATCAATTCATTTTCTATATTTTCTCACCGAAATGATAGTAAACTTATCACACTGCTGTAAGGAATAGGCTTGGGAAAAAGACAGCAATAACCGACTGTTCGTCCAAGAAAATATTTCAGAAGATTGCTTTGAACTGGAGTAGCGAGGTCGAGGACAGAGCGACCCTTTCTAAAACCAAACCGATAACAGAAGAGACAATTTCAAGTTTTTATGTTCAATATGATGTGTTTGTTGACTAGGCATTCTAATAATTTACAAACAGCGCTGGTAAGAACAATGGTTCTATAATGAGACAGTTCTCATGAGGTTCCTGTTTGCAAAAAAAGGTAAGACTACTGCAGTGTTCCATTGTAGGGAAAAAAAAACACTTTTTGGATTAGTTTGGTTAACTTAAGAGGTATATCTTCGATAGTCAAATTATACTAAAGAGGCAAAATATACAGAAGCTTGTTCTGAACATCGATTTTAACCCATACCTGTCGGCGCTTTTTATATTTTTTCAAGAGCACTATGACATGTGGATAAAGATAAGAGTATGTATTGTACGATACATAAAAGCTTCATGCAGTGAAGGTATAAAATCAGAACACTGAACAAATCAAGATACAAAACAAAAAAAATACAATACTTACAAAACATACCAAATAATACACAAAATCACGACTGAAGTTACGTTTGCACATATAAGGTATGTGCAGGCATCACATCCTCCTGACTGGAAAGGTTAGAGGCACCCCATCCTCCTGGGTTGAAAGGCTAGGTAAGAAGCACTACATCCTCCTGGCTGGAAAGATTAGAGGCCCCTTATCTTCCTGGCTGGAAAGATTAGAGGCCTCCTATCTTCCTGGCTGGAAATATTAGAGGCCTCCTATCTTCCTGGCTGGAAATATTAGAGGCCTCCTATCTTCCTGGCTGGAAATATTAGAGGCCTCCTATCTTCCTGGCTGGAAAGATTAGAGGCCTCCTATCTTCCTGACTGGAAAGATTACCAACACCACATCCTCCAGACTGAAAAGTTAGGTTTACATACACCACATCTTTCTGGTTAGAAAGATAGGTAGCACCATATATCTCTGGTTGGAAAATTAGGTTACAAGCACCCCATCCTCCTGGTTGGAAAGTTAGGTTACAAACACCACGCCCTCCTGATCGGGTAATCATTACACATGGTCACTAATAGCGAAACTGGAGACTCATGTAAACAAGGTACCTCTTGAATATACAAGACTTCAACACACATCGGCTCAGGTCACATTCCTCCCTGACTGCCTCATTTGTTCCCTTGTTACATAAGATCCCCTCAAGGGAGGTTCCGTGGCGCTGGTGAAGAGCTCTTGATCTTCGGAGTTGGATTTGTGCTCCGGTTCTCTGAATTGAGCCTGAATACCTTCCATCCCCCTCCCCGCATGCGCTGTATAATCTTCGGGTTTAGCGCTCCCCATGATTATAATAATAATAATAATTAACATAAGACGATAATTATCGTGATGCTGATTAAGGCTATGATGGTCACGTGGCTCGGTTGGCAACGTTCTTGCTTCACACATTAAGTGTCCGTGGTTCAATCCCCGGCATGAGTGACAACGTTGGGCATGTTTCATTACACCTGCTGTCCTATTCACCTAGCAGTAAACAGGTACCTGGGTATTAGTCGACTGGTGTGGGTCGCATTCTGGGGGGCAAGATTATTAAAGACCATTGGAAATAAAACACAATCCTCGATGACGCACTGCATTGGGGTACCCTGGGTTGCTAACCCCTCTGGGGCTAAAAATCCTAGCAAATCTTATGTTGGTTTTAGTTTAATACCTATTATGCACCCCATACCCATCCTGCGGGCGGTAGTCAAAAGATTAGAGGTACATAATGGGTCCTTAGGGAAGAAAGATAAAAAAAGATGAGAGGAAAAAAAATTAGAGAAGAGTATAATAATGAAAAATGAGAAAAAATATTAACCACTAGATATGTGTGCGAGGTTATAACTATCTAAAAAAAATGCGGCCTTTCACTCGCGACACCCCTCAAGGAAGGCTCCTTGACGCTGGTGAGGGGCTCTTGATCTAGGGAATTGGATCTGTGCTCCAGTTCCCTGAATTAAGCCTGAATGCCTTCCATCCCCCCATAGGCGCTGTATAATCCTACGGGTTTAGTGCTTCCCCCTTGATTATAATAATAATAATAATAATCACTCGCGACAGAGAGGAAGAGGATAGACAGAATAGAAACTGGGTAGGAGATTGCCAGAAGAGAAACAGGACGAGGCAAGAGAAAGAGAGAATAGGCAGGAGAGGAAGCAGAGAGAGATAAAAAGCAATAGGCAAGGGAGAGTGATAAGGAAGATAATCTGGAAAAAAAGGAAAGGGCAGAGCGAGATAAACTCCAGAAAGAGAAAGACATACATAATAATAAAATTATTGTTATTATTATATTAATTAATAATATGTGATTACATAATATTTTACTGAGAATGAATGTTAATTCGAAGCCAAGCCAAGACACGAACACGGGTGTCGTCTGAACTAATGTGTTATTTATACATATATACGCCGTAAAATATACTCCCACAAGGAAATTAGTTAACATAGAGTGTCATGGGATAAACGACCCATGGGAGAGCACAGTGTTTTTTTTTTTTTTGGTGTTAAGGAGATAAATAAATAAAAAGAGAAGTTTTGGAGAGTAGCAGCCGGCGGGATGATGGCAGGAGGCTGGCCAGGCCTACCACAGGCCTACCGTAATGTTGTGTCCCTGGGCTGTGGGAGGCACTATGGGGGCCAGGTAGCGAGGAACAGGCTACTTCTAGCCCCCAGGACACATGCCAGACCTTCACACTACAAAACCATCCATGGCACTAGATCAAAAAGTAAACATTTAAATTTTATATCCTATTTCTTTTTTGTGACATGTCAGGAGCCAGTCCTATCTTGCCAAAAAACAATATTAACATGCTGAGATAGAATGCAAAATTGTTTTATAGCATAGTAAAAGATTTTTAAAGATTTTTAACCAAAAATTCCTCGTTACTCCTTCCTGGAGAAGTGTTCTGTGGTAGTAGATTTGTGGTTAAGAAAACTAATAAAGGGAGAACTCATTCGGGTTTAGTGCTTTCTTGTATACCGCCTTAGAGGGAGGTGCCTTGACACAAATGAAGGGCTCTTGATCCAAAGAATTTGAGCTGCTCTCCCTTGGATCGAATTTAATTCTCATACCCCAAAGATGCTGTTGACTTAACGATTTAGTGCATCCCATGCAATAAATACAATACATTCTCTGTACTTAATAAAGTCAGACATAATCACTGACCCCTTGAAGAATACGGATTTAGAGCTTCCCATGGATATATTTTTTATGTTAATAAAATATCAAGCATCCATGTCAAACTATTTTGACTGGACTCTGTTAAATATTTATCTCTTACCTTAATCTTTTAACTCCCCATAAGGAAGGTAAGTATTTAACAGTGAAAAGCCCTAGATCTAAAGAATCGTTGCTACTCTCCCTTTCCTTGCATCAAATCTAAATGCTTCGTATTTCCCTGGTGTTTTTTGTGACCCCTAGACCCTTAGTGCTCCCCCTGATAAAACTAAAATAAAATTATTACCTCTGTGGGTTTGGTGCTCCTTCCATGAAATACATGAAACAAGTAAACTGACAAAAGAACAGAACTGGATATCATTCCAACCTCATTTTTTTTATAAATAGTTTCTCAAAATATAAAGCAGGAATAACCTTTTTAATATATGTTTTAAAATTGGTACGAGATGTACAGTAATACAGTCTTAATAATATAGTAATATAATTTTCATAAGTATGTAACTTATAATCCATACTGTATGTACAGAATATGTATATGGTTATTTAAGATATGACAACAAAATGTAATGATGACTTAACCTAGGATATCCCTACAATTCCATAAGAGGATTAATATCCTTTAGGGTTGCTGTTTTATCTTATCCACATATATATCATTCTGACACTGGTAAATGGCTCATGATTCAAAGAATTAGAGCTACTTTCTTTCCTTTGATCAAACCTGATTGCTTTCAGTTCCTTTGGGTTTAGTGCTTCTCCATGAATGTAATAATAATACGGAACATGTTAATATATTTTGAAATCTCTCAAATTCAAAAAATAAATTTAGACCAATAAATTTTAAAATTTTCTAAATAAATCTGAATTTTTGAAAATTATTTGGAAAAGTTCACCTGGTCTTAATAAGAGTTTTCGTTTATTTTTTTTAATTGAGAATGGTCTTTAAAATTCCCTCTTTTTTAATAAGAGCTAAAACTCTTAAATTTTAATTTAATATTTTCTTACCTGGAGTTTACCTGGAGAGGGTTTCGGGGGTCAACGTCCTTGCGGCTCGGTCTGAGACCAGGCCTCACGATGGACCAGGGTCTGTTCAACCAGGCTGTTACTACTGGCCACACGCAAGCTGACGTATGAACCACAGCCCGGTTGGTCAGGTACTGATACAGTGGACCCCCGCATAACGATATTATTTGAATCCAGAAGTCTGTTTGGGTGCCGTTATAGACCGAATTTGTTCCCATAAGAAATATTGTGAATTAGGTTAGTCCATTTCAGACCCCTAAAAATACACCTACAAAAGCACTTGCAAAAATAAACTTGCATAATTGGTCGAGTTGGGAGCTGATCGTTATCCGGGGGTCCACTGTATTAAGTGCCTGTCTGGTGCCTTCTTAAAGATAGCCAGGGGTCTATTGGTAATCCCCCTTATTTAGGCTTCTTAATTCTGATTTTGTCTTGTCTGAATAAAAAGTGTCGAGTTTTACTTTACAGACTTCTATAATGGCAGTTGCCATTCTCTGAATACTTCCTGCTGTAGTATTAACTCAGTTTAAGTGACTGCTGGTAGTGTGTTTGGTCCTTGTTACTGTATCAAATCACAGTTGGGCTTTTGGACATCCACTCCTGCTGGTTTTGGGAAAAAGTACTTGGACATCTGTACACTGGTCACTAGACTCACATGATCATCTCATAAAGGGGCACCCAGCTCTACTGCGAGAATTTTCAGGTCATACTGACAAATGATCTTTTGATTTTTTGTCCCACTCATTAAAGATTGCTCCGTTATTTCAGACACCTTCAATGCCCAGACATGCTTACTCTGTCTGTTCTCTCTGATGGTCCTACCTTAAATGCAGATTCTTTCAGTGATTTCTTAATTAACACTGACATCAGCTGTGACTTTTCCCTTTATGCCAGTGCTTCTTCTTAACACCACTGCTATCCCTCTACTATCTCTCTTACTCTTACCATGTAGTGCTGAATGATCCATGTGGGTTTAACACTATCCATGACTATCATAATAGAGTAATACTGTACTGTAATAATATGTATTTTGTTATTTAAATACTGTATTACCACATAGTTATGAAGTAGATCTTTAAAAAAACTGATAGTTGTATTACAGTAGAGTACATATATTCCTTTTAATTTTTTTTCAGAAACCTCAGGGGCCATAAGCTGGAATTTACTTGGGATACTTGTTGGCCAGGGTCGGCAGTCTCAAATTCTTGAGAGATTAAAAGAAGTTACACTTTATCTTCTTCGCACAATTGTTCGGCAATGTGAGGTCCACACAGCACAAAAATTCAGGCGTGGTTTACAGCTTTACTCTGTATATTCACGTATGTGGGGAGAAGAGGTGAGACCTTTATTTTTTTTAATTTCTTGTTTCTCTTTTAATGAGATGATTGTCTACTCTTCTCGCAGTAATCTCTACGCAGTACTTCACGCTTTTATATTTTTCTTAGAAAGCCTACATCCAAAGAAAAAATAGTGTACAGTATTACTCTTGCCAATTCTACTATCCCTAACTTCTTAATTCTAGCTTTCTCTCACATCTTATATCTTTATCCATCCTTCTAAAAAACTTTTTTTTTCTACTATAATTTAAGATGTGGAAAAAGCATCATTGATATTAAGCCAGAATGTTGGTTTTGAAGTGTGTATTTAACTCTGTCTTTTCCATGATTGCCCAATTTTTGTTACTTCGTCATAACCCTTATTTTTTTTTCAATGAAATATTTTTCCACATGTATTTATGTCATGTTATACTTTGTTAAATTTATGTTCAACCTGACTTAACCTAAAATAGTGTACATTTATATTGTATCTGTGCATGATTCAAGGAATCATTGCCTCCATGGCCTGGTCTTGGACAGGCCTCTTAAACAGAAATAAAAACTATTAAGAAAAACCTCACTAAGGAAAATTGAATTTTCAGTAAAGTTACTTACAAATTTGCTGTACAGACATACAGTGGACCCTCATTTTTCGTAAGCATCGGAAGTCATAATGTTCGAAAATCGTAACTTTTTTCATCAAAATATTGACTCGTGAATTGTCGTTTGACTTACAAATAGTCATTCGTCCCAGATGCATACAAGCAGCCTCAATGCAGCCACAGTCAGTGTCCCATTGTTTATCAGCGAGTAAGCATGATCCCACTCATTCATACGATACATTTTGTAATACTATTCCATTCGTTTTAGTGCTTGCAACTCCTAATTAAGCCACCGTGGGCCAAAAGAAAGCTAGTGCCAGCCCTTTGGTAAAGAAGGTGACAAACACGATAGAATTAAAGAAAAAGAGTGTAGAAAAATACGAAAGTGGTAGTGGTAGTGATAGTGGTAGAAAGTGGTAGTGATGGTGGTAGGGGGTGGTAGTGATGGTGGTAGAGGGTGATAGTGATGGTGGTAGAGGGTGGTAGTGATGGTGGTAGAGGGTGGTAGTGGTTGTGATGGTGGTAGTAATGGAGATTTGTGCAATGTGAAATAGGATGGAAAGATTTGTGGCATTAAAAACCAAAGAAGGGAAGTGACCCTGGATAAGGACTTGGTACTTAAGAGTCCTTATGGAGGGGGATTCCCCTTCCAAAGAATAACCTCTCTTCCCTCTCCCTTCCTCCCTGTCTTCCAGCCACCAACAACAGCCTTCAATAAAGGTAAGTGTCATGTTGAATGTTCATTCTTTTGTGCATGTAAATCTATCTTTAAGGTAAAAAAAAAATTTTTTTGTTAATACTTCTGGGTGTCTGGAATGGATTAATTGGATTCACATTATTTGTTATGGGGAAAGTGGTTTCGCAAATTGTCAATTTCGCCATTAGTCACACTCTCTGGAACAGATTAATTACGAAAAATGAGGGTCCACTGTACCTCACTAATACTGTGGGTTAGGTTCCAGATCGCTGCTGTAAAGCGAACATTGCCTTAAAGTAAATCACAGCCTTTTTTTTCACTTGCTAATACAGTAGGGCCCCACTTATACGGCAGGTTAAGTTCCAGACTACTGCCGGAAAGCAGACATCGCCAGAAAGCAGAATGCCATTTTTTACATTTATAAATGCATATAAATGCCAGGTAACAAGTTTACACTAACATAGATTATGTTAGTAATAGAACTAGGCATTAAAAACAATAAAAACTAAAATACACACACAGTACACCCATTAATTACCTTGAAATATTTGTAGTCTTAATATAGGGTGAGAGGTGAGTTTAATTTGTAGGAAGTCAGGTTTGGGAGGTATGGTAGCCAGACAGGTCAGCCCACCCCACCCACACGTAATATACTACATTTAATTAAAGCTCCCCAGAGCGATAAAATGCATATACAGTACATTCATTAATTACCTTAAAATATTTGTAATTTTAATATAGGGTGAGAGGTGAGTTTAATTTTTAGGAAGTCAGGTTTGGGAGGTATGGTAGCCAGCCAGGGAAGGCCTCCCCACCCCATCCACACATAATGTAAACAAACCAGATGAACATGTCTGGTTTTTCTCACTTTACATTGTGTACAAGTTGTCTCCACATTGATACAGTAGAATAAATAAAGAGAAACACTCCCATTCTCGTGTAACACCATTTTTAGAAGAAATGACACCCTGAGTGAAGGCATACTTAGGTACAGGTACACATATGTACAATTATCAGTTATAATAATAATGTAGGTATGTAGTCCACCTGGGCTACATACCTACGCCTACCTACATAGCTATATGATATTTAATGTGGCCCAGAGCCATATTATTACCATCGACATCCCATGTTCACTGAGTTTAATCGTTTCTAACAACTACATTTAGATGCCATCATAAACAAAGGGAGAAGTAATGAATAATTCATGCTGAAAATTGTAAACAAAAGTGTTATGTATTAAGGGGAGTGACATAATGTATTCCTCTGCCCGGCTACCACACCTCCATAGTATATAAACATCATGTTTATATGCTATGTAATGTGTTTCTTATATAATTTTGAAGAAAATATCATAAATGGATTAATGAAAATGTCTATATTGATGTAAAGTTAGACATTTAATGTGCCCAAGAGTGATTATTATTACATAACAGAGAGATGCGTTCATGGAGAATGTAAACAAACTGAGTGGCGCACGCCGTATTTGAAAGACTGCTTGCCATATGGAAAGTTTTGGTCATAATGTGAGATAGCCGTATTAGTGGAACGCTGTAAGGTGAAATGTTGAAAAGCGGGGCCCTACTGTACATATAAAAGCCTAAAAACGTGTTTACATTATCATTTATTAAGTACACAATAGCACTAGGCCTAAAAAAAAGATGCAAAAAAATTAAAAATAATAAAAAAAACTGAAAATTTCCAGGAGCAAGACAAGCGCTGAAAATGATAAACATAAATATAATTGAAAAGCGCCATATTAGCGAAGCACTCTAAAGTGAGTGCCATATTAATGAGGTATGCCTGTACCATACTCTGGATTAGCTGTTATGATCATTCAACATAATACAGGAGGGCCCTTATTTACAGTGCTTATCTTTACATTGTTTTAATAATGCAGCAGTTGTCATTTATACCTATTCTTCATTTATTCAGACTTCATACAATAAATATATTCATCCCTCACTAAAAGCTAAGAATGAAAATATTTTAAGGTAAGTAATGTGTGCGCTGTACGTATATGTTTTTTTCAGGCCTGGCTCTATTACTTACTTAATATACGATAGTGTAAATGTGTTATCAGCCTTTAAACATATTTGAAAGTGAAAAGAGGCTGTGATTCACTTTACAGTGGTTTTTGCTTTACAGTGGTAGCCCAGAACCTAACCTGCTGTATAAGCGGGGCCCTCCTATATCCCTATTTTCGTCACATGATCTGGTGCTTTCTCTGCTGCTATCCATTAATATTATTACAGTTATTCCCTTTTTTCTTAGATTTTTTTTAATTTGGCCTAATTCTAGCTGTCCTTTACTCCTCTTAATATTTTATTTCTTTAAAGGAGTATAAAAATGTTAGAAACTTACTTATGCCATATCTATGTCCATTCACAGGTTTGAATACCAGTATAGTATATATTTTTCACACACAAAACCTGTTGGTTTCTGTCTTATGTTTATCACTCTTGTGTAGTACCAGAGGCATTGCATAACTTTCCATTCATTTTTTAACAGGTTGCTCGAACCATGTTTGCAAACTTTAGACGTGTGCTTATTTCTCGAGGCCGGCACATGCTTCTGTCAGCAGTTTGCTTTACAAACTTTAACTGGGATAAGGAGAAAATACCACGTGAAAAATTGGAAAGGTGAGAACTCATTGCTTTTATTTTAAAGCCTGTTAATTTTTCATTTTTCATTTTTATTTGCTCAAAGAAAAATCATTAAAAAAATACGAACTTATTTCCTTTCTATTAAGTGGAGAATCAAATGTCCTGATGTCTAATGAAGCAGGTAGAAGCAATTTTGTTGAGCACCTAACCCTCTCATCTAGAGTTATGTCGTAGATTCCAGTGTCACTAACAGATCTACGTTTTGAGCCAGGCTTCTTCAAATAAGCTGTGAGTGGTAAATTTTAACCTAGACATGAGTGAATGGGTCTATTTGGTGAGTGTGCACAGTATAAAAAAAAACTCTTGCTCCATGTTGTGCATGATGGGAAGAGCAAATTGCTGAATTTGCATTTGTTTTAAAATAGCAACTTTGAGGTGTTTAGATGGTTTTATTGGCTGTTTCTTGGTATTAATTGATAATATGGAAGACATACTACTGAAATAGTGAATTTTGTCAATTTCAGACTGGAAATAGCTTGATTGCCCTGAGGAAGGATAGCCTTACCCCGAGAAATAGGGTAGAACTTTGAGTTTGATGATGGATTTAAAATAGAGGGCAAGTGTAATTAATGTAGGAGAGGCCTGGGGACATGATTAATGAACAGAGGAAAGGTTGTTTTAGTGGCTAGAATGCCTACAGTATTTATTTTGGACTGTGTATAAAATGGAATTTTTTTAAATTTTGTGTAAAAACTGTCAAAATTACTAAATTGTATGTGCATTATAGGGTAGTTCTGATAGTTTAATGGGCAGTTTCTTGTCCTCGCTTGACAGAATGGAAGACATTCTAGCAAAATAGCTAGAAATTGGGCTAAATTGAGCATTGGAACTGGCTAAAAATAGGATTCAAATTGGGCAAAATCAGCGGTGTAAATTGTGCCCAGCCTGCCAACTTTGTGCTTCTGCAATTCCGTAAGTTTTCCATTAAATTTTGCATTATTAGTGTCATTACCTTCAGAAAAAGGTTTTCTGCCTTATCAGAAGATAAAAAAAAAAATTGTGGTAAACATGACACTGTCAGCACTTTTAATTTTGGGGTGGCAACAGTTAAAGGGTTAAAGTATATATAAAACTGTGTAAATAAAATTATCCTTTTTTCCTTGTTCATTATATATTTTAATTAAATGTTGCAAACTGGTTTCCTAGATTTATAATTGAAGTCCTTTTTCCTTGTCTTGAGTTGCCTGCATTTGCTACTGTAATGATTCTCTTTTCTATTTTTTCTTCTATCTTGGTGAACCACAGCATTTGTTGCATGTTATAGATAATAAATTAATGATAATTCATGCAATTATGATTAAAAGTACAAGGGAAGAATGTCATTAAAGAGTTCAGTAATCAATGAATGATATGTGATGTATTTTGGGAAATTTTGCACTGTATGAACCCTATGGATTTAACACTTGCCGTGAATATAATAATAAGATATTTTGCTAGGAAAGTAATTTAGTGTTCTATAGGAACAGTGTTAGTGCTGTACTGTTTTTGCAGTGCTGGAGTTTAATAAAAAAAAAATTTTATTAGCACATCGGCCGATTCCCATCAAGGCAGGGTAGCCTGAAAAAGAAAAACTTGCATCATCATTCACTCCATCACTGTCTTGCCAGAGGGGTGCTTTACACTACAGTTATAAAACTGCAACATTAACACCCCTCCTTCAGAGTGTAGACACTGTACTTCCCATCTCCAGGACTCAAGTCCAGCCTGCCGGTTTCCCTGAATCCCTTCATAAATGTTACTTTGCTCACACTCCAACAGCACGTCAAGTATTAAAAACCATTTGTCTCCATTCATTCCTATCAAATACACTCACGGATGCTTGCTGGAAGTCCAAGCCCCTCACACACAAAACCTCCTTTAGCCCCTCCTTCCAACCCATCCTAGGCCAACCCCTACCCTGCATTTCCTCCACTACAGATTTATACACTATCGAAGTCATTCTGTTTTGTTCCATTCTCTCTACATGTTCAAACCACCTCAACAACCCCTCCTCATTGCTCTGGATAATAGTTTTGGTAATCCCACACCTTCTCCTAATTTCCAAACTACGAATTTTCTGCATTATATTCACAACACACATTGCCCTCAGACATGACGCCTCCACTGCCTCCAGCCTTCTCGTTGCAGCATTCATCACCCATGCTTCACACCCATACAAGAGTGTTGGTTGAACTATACTCTCAGACATTCCCCAATTGCTTCCACGGACAAAGTTCTTTGTCTCCACAGACTCCTAAGTGCACCACCCACCCTTTTCCCCTCATCAATTCTATGGTTCACCTCATCCTTCATAGACCCATCTGTTGACACGTCCACTCCTAAATATCTGATTACATTCACCTCCTCCATACTCTCTTCCTCCAATCTGATATCCAATCTTTCGTCACCTAATTTTTTTGTTATCCTCATAACCTTACTCTTTCCTATATTTGCTTTTAATTTTCTTCTTTTACATACCCTACCAAATTTATCCACCAACCTCTGCAGCTTCTCTTCAGAATCTCCCAAAAGCACAGTGTCATCAGCAAAGAGCAACTGTGACAACTCCCACTGTGTTTGATTCTTTATCTTTCAACTCCACACCTCTTGCCAAGACCCTTGCATTCACTTCTCTTACAACCCCATCTATATATATTGAACAGTCACGGTGACATCACACATCCTTGTCTAAGGCCTACTTTTACTGGGAAATAATCTCCCTCTTTTGTACATACTCTAACCTGGGCCTTACTATCCTTGTAAAAGCTCTTCACTGCTTACAGTAACCTACCTCCTATACTATACACCTGCAACATCTATCCTATCCACCCTGTCATATGCCTTTTCCAAATCCATAAATGCCACAAAAACCTCTTTACCCTTATCTAAATACTGTTCACCTATATGTTTCACTGTAAACACTTGGTCTACACACCCCTACCTTTCCTAAAGCCTCCTTGTTCAGCTGCTATCCTACTCTCCGTCTTACTCTTAATTCTTTCAATAATAACTCTACCATCTTGATTTTAATAAAAATATTTCATACTAATCCCAACATTAAACTTGCTAATTAATAGGTAATGATGTTCTGACAAAGAAGTCAAGTGAAGTAAGTAATTATTTTTTTATCTTTTATTAATTTACCTCTGAAATTAAGGATTTTAAACATGCTTTGTGATAAGTTTAATTACAGATTGAAACTAAACACAGTACTATATGGTAATTCTTTCTTTCTTTCAACTCACCGGCCGTATCCCACCAAGGCAGGGTGGCCTAAAAGGAAAAACAAAAGTTTCTCCTTTCACATTTAGTAATATATACAGGAGAAGGGGTTACTAGCCCCTTGCTCCTGGCATTTTAGTTGCCTCTTACAACATGCCTAGCTTACGGAGGAAGAATTCTGTTCCACTTCCCCATGGAGATAAGAGGAAATAAACAAGAACAAGAACTAGTAAGAAAATAGAAGAAAACCCAGAGGGGTGTGTGTATATATATGCTTGTACATGTATGTGTAGTGTGACCTAAGTGTAAGTAGAAGTAGCAAGACGTACCTGAAACCTTGCGTGTTTATGAGACAGAAAAAACACCAGCAATCCTACCATCATGTAAAACAATTACAGGCTTTCATTTTACATTCACTTGGCAGGACTGTAGTACCTCCCTGGGCGGTTGCTGTCTACCAACCTACTACCTAGGTATATGGTAATTGTGTATGTAAAATAAAATATGTAATGCAGTGTTAAAGCTTTTGCAAGGAATTGTAATGAAAATCATCTAAAATAAATATATACTTAGTGCAAAAATAGCTCTTTTTTCAATAATTTGTGACTTAAGGCAATATTGTATTTTATTTTTTCTGTTTATTTATTTTTGATAGCTCTTATATCATTTATAAATCAGTCAGAAAAATGCATATCAGTTTGCTCAGCATTATATGAAATCTTGATTTTTCAGGGCTAAGAATGATCTTAATAGTGTGGGAGATCTCTGCAGAGCTACTGTTGACTGTGAAAACTGTGGGAAGAGACAAGTGATTGACCAACAGGTAATATATTAGTTTGTACACTACCTTCTTGTATTAGCCCAAATATAAGTAACATTTATTCCTGTATGTTTTTTTTTTTTTACCACATCTACTCTCCCCCTTTGAAATAATGTTACCCTACATTGTGGGAGATGACCAATGTGGTTCAAAAAAAAAAAAAAAGCATAATCAGCAGATGTAGCTTGACCAGTTGCTGCAAGATATTAACAAGCAGACATGGCTTAAGCAGTGTGTATCAGAGATTATTTTAATCAGCTTAATCAACTTTGCTAGCAGAGATGGCCTGTGCATTGTGTACCATGGAATACTGTGACCATTTTAATTAGCAGACATGGCTTACTGGGATACTATGACTTAACTAGCAAACATAGCTTGTGCAGTGTCTTCTAGATTAATAATATGAGACTGAAAATGTATTTCTCTGGCCACTGCTTTGATTGGCTAAAGCACTTTTGTGATATTGATATGCTGGTTAATTTGTGCATAAAGAACATTACAATTGCCATTGCATATTTTTCTAAAGTTTTGTTGCAACTGAATTGGAAATATTATGTAAAATACTACAATACAGTGGACCCCCGGTTAACGATATTTTTTCACTCCAGAAGTATGTTCAGGTGCCAGTACTGACTGAATTTGTTCCCATAAGGAATATTGTGAAGTAGATTAGTCCATTTCAGACCCCCAAACATACACGTACAAACGCACTTACATAAATACACTTACATAATTGGTCGCATTCGGAGGTGATCGTTATGCGGGGGTCCACTGTATATCCTAACCCAAATAAACCCAAAGTAATGTAAATTACTGTATACAGTGCATGCAGTTAGTGATCTCCAGTATCACAGTGGGAATTTTTGCATGCTTAATCTAAATTATTTTGTTAGGAAGTTTTTGTCTTTACCCTCATTAACAACAGAAGCTACAATAACAAGAGTAAGTTGCAATAATTTAACGTAAGTGCTACATCAGCACTCAGCTTTGAAGAATAAGTTGTCAAAATTTCTGTGGCTGTGTATGACTAATATGGGTTTAGAGCTTATGTTGTAATTTACATTAATAATAATATATTTCAAGCTTTCTGAAAGTATTTGTTTTCAGATGGCTAATGTAGATTACTGCATCTGCAGTGGGAGAGTGGGATACACAAATACGTCTCGCAAATATGAATCTTGGGAACCATTTATTGAACGTGAGCATCATATTGTGTGGCGTCAGAGACATCATATTCACAAGCACTTGTATGCATATAAAGGTAAATTCAAGCCTAATGGTGATGGCTAATTATTTATTTTTTTATTAACACACTGGCCGATTCCCACCAAGGCAGGGTGGCCCGAAAAAGAAAAACTTTCACCATCATTCACTCCATCACTGTCTTGCCAGAAGGGTGCTTTACACTACAGTTTTTAAACTGCAACATTAACACCCCTCCTTCAGAGTGCAGGCACTGTACTTCCCATCTCCAGGACTCAAGTCCGGCCTGCCGGTTTCCCTGAATCCCTTCATAAATTTTACTTTGCTCACACTCCAACAGCACGTCAAGTATTAAAATCAATTTGTCTTCATTCACTCCTATCAAACATGCTCACGCATGCCCGCTGGAAGTCCAAGCCCCTCACACATAAAACCTCCTTTACCCCCTCCCTCCAACCTTTCCTAGGCCGACCCCTACCCTGCCTTCCTTCCACTACAGACTGATACACTCTTGAAGTCATTCTGTTTCGCTCCATTCTCTCTACATGTCCGAACCACCTCAACAACCCTTCCTCAGCCCTCTGGACAACAGTTTTGGCAATCCCGCACCTCCTCCTAACTTCCAAACTACGAATTCTCTGCATTATATTCGCACCACACATTGCCCTCAGACATGACATCTCCACTGCCTCCAGCCTTCTCCTCGCTGCAACATTCATCACCCATGCTTCACACCCATACAGGAGCATTGGTAAAACTATACTCTCATACATTCCCCTCTTTGCTTCCAAGGACAAAGTTCTTTGTCTCCACAGACTCCTAAGTGCACCGCTCACCCTTTTCCCCTCATCAATTCTGTGATTCACCTCATCTTTCATAGACCCATCTGCTGACAAGTCCACTCCCAAATATCTGAATACATTCGCCTCCTCCATACTCTCTCCCTCCAATCTGATATCCAATGTTTCATCACCTAATCTTTTTGTTATCCTCATAACCTTACTCTTTCCTGTATTCACTTTCAGTTTTCTTCTTTTACATACCCTACCAAATTCATCCACCAACCTCTGCAACTTCTCTTCAGAATCACCCAAGAGCAAAGAGCAACTGTGACAACTCCCACTTTATGTGTGATTCTTTATCTTTTAACTCCACACCTCTTGCCAAGACCCTCGCATTTACTTCTCTTAAAACCCCATCTATAAATTTATTGAACAACCACGGTGACATCACACATCCTTGTCTAAGGCCTACTTTTACTGGGAAATAATCTCCCTCTTTCCTACACACACTAACTTGAGCCTCACTATCCTCGTAAAAACTCTTCACTGCTTTCAGTAACCTACCTCCTATACCATACATCTGCAACATCTGCCACATTGCCCCCCTATCCACCCTGTCATACGCCTTTTCCAAATCCATAAATTCCACAAAAACCTCTTTAGCCTTATCTAAATACTGTTCACTTATATGTTTCACTGTAAACACCTGGTCCACACACCCCCTACCTTTCCTGAAGCCTCCTTGTTCATCTACTATCCTATTCTCTGTCTTACTCTTAATTCTTTCAATAACAACTCTACCATACACTTTACCAGGTATACTCAACAGACTTATCCCCCTATAATTTTTGCACTCTCTTTTGTCCCCTTTGCCTTTATACAAAGGAACTATGCATGCTCTCTGCCAATCCCTAGGTACCATACCTTCTTCCATACTTTTTTTTTTTTTTTTTCAACAAGTCGGTCGTCTCCCACCGAGGCAGGGTGACCCAAAAAAGAAAGAAAATCCCCAAAAAGAAAATACTTTCATCATCATTCAACACTTTCACCACACTCACACATTATCACTGCTTTTACAGAGGTGCTCAGAATACAACAGTTTAGAAGCATATACGTATAAAGATACACAACATATCCCTCCAAAACTGCCAATATCTTCCATACATTTATTAAATAATAGCACCAACCACTCCAAAACTATATCTCCACCTGCTTTTAACATTTCTATCTTTATCCCATCAATCCCAGCTGCCTTACCCCCTTTCATTCTACTTACTGCCTCACGAACTTCCCCCACACTCACAACTGGCTCTTCCTCACTCCTACAAGATGTTATTCCTCCTTGCCCTATACACGAAATCACAGCTTCCCTATCTTCATCAACATTCAACAATTCCTCAAAATATTCCCTCCATCTTCCCAATACCTCTACTCTCCATTTAATAACTCTCCTCTCCTATTTTTAACTGACTTCATAAATATGACAGTAGATTACCTTGTCCATCAGGCACCCTACCTCCTTGTCTTTCCATAAAAAACTGACTCTTATTTGTTTTTCCTGGTTATGCAGCTGGTAATGTTTTGACAGAAATGACTAAATTATTTTGAGCAAGTTAATAAGGCCCAAAACTAAAACTTAACAAGTAGGGATATTTTGCAGTTTGGAGGGGCATCTTAACTATATTGTTTGCACACCTCTGGCAAGACAGTGATGGAGTGAACGATGCTGAAAGTGTTTCTTTTTCGGGTCACCCTGCCTTGGTGGGAGATGGCCAATGTGTTAAAAAACAATATTAAAAAATGCATATGAAACCTCATTTTGTTATCATTAATATTTTAGTTTTATTAAGTCATTTCTTATCAGAGTAAGAGAAAAACATTCGCCTTCATTGATTCAATAGGCGTAGTATCTGTGTACAATCAGGCTTTCACAAAAAGTCACATATTATATATGCCATGCTCTCATGGCAGTTATGCTCATTCAGTAGGTTGCAAGAGGTCCCAGGTTCGGCTCCCAGACAGGCCCCCCCATGTTACGTAGAAAGCGGGAGCTCCTGGGGGCTTAAGCCTTGTCTAAGGGCAAAGGTAAAAATTACACAAATCTCATGTAAAACTAGGCCACCCATGGCTATTCCAGTCAAAACAGAAAATGCTAAACCAACATTTATTGCTTCAGTGGGTTGGTTATTAGAGGGTTCAAGCAAAATTCCTAATTAGGAAAATATACACTTATTAGTATTAACAATGTATACACACACCAGACAAACACTCCCACATTTCTCTTGGCCTAAACACCCAAATAAGGGTACATAAGGAGCTGGCGGGATGGAGAGTTAGAGCAACACAAAGACACACATGTACCTATGGGGTCGGTGCCCAGCAGACGCTGTCCCCTACTCTCCCCCTGAGACCATCCTATTCTCGTTTTTTTGGTCTCATTTGATAGAATAGAAGATATATTACAGATTGGTTTCACAACGAAAAGTACCTTGAAATTGAGCTCAAAGTAGCAGAAATGCTCAATTCTTTGGCGATGTTCAAGAGTAAACAAATGACGTCACCATCCATTCCAGTGTGCAGTCATGAATGGGTTGACATTATTTATACAATTATTACAATAATGCAGTAGTCTGCATAACAGTAAATCTTCTATATTTTGTGTGAATAAAAATTACAAATTATTTATATTGTAATAATAATAATAAAAATATATTATTATTATTATAATTATGGGGGAGCGCTAAACCCGTATGATTACACCGCTTGTGGGGGGGATGGGAGGCATTCAGACTCAATTCAGGGAACTGGAGCACAGATCCAATTCCCCAGATCAAGAGCCTCTCATCAGCATCAAGGAACTTCCCTTGAGGGGATAATATTATATAATAGTATAATATAATAATAATAATAATAATAATAATAATAATAATAATAATAATAATATAATACATATAATAATAATACATGTATAATAATAATGTACTATATGATAATTAAAATAATAGACGGCTTCAAAAGACCCTCACTAGATGGCAGTGATTACCACAACAATGCGGGAGCTGTTGTGGCCACCTCCACTTGTCCCATGATGACATTTTGTATTTATTCTAGAGCATATACTATCAGGTTTCTATGTTATTTATATTGTTTATTATGTCATATTAGATGAATTGTGACAGATAAATAAGCCTTATAGATGATATTAGCGAAATATTAAAGTATCTTGTTGTGCGTCCTGAGAGCCGGGAACGGATTAATTGCATTTCAATTAATTTAAATGAGGAAAATTGACTCTGCAAACGAGCAAATCCAGATGCGAGCAAGGTCACGGAATGGATTAAATTCGTAAGCAGAGGTTCCACTGTACATTCATCATTCAATCAATCACTGTCTTCCCAGAGGGGTGCTGACTTTACAATTCGGATGACCTTCCGAACTGCAACTTCCTTAAAATACTAACAGAGAAAGCATTTTAAGAGACTGCTAAAAATGTAATAGTATGTTATAGGCACAGTTTATGCCAGGGGTCGGCATCCTTGTTCTGCCTAGGGGCCAGAGCCCATGTGTGCGAGTGGATGGCTTGCCACACTTATCGCCATAGTTAATAAATAGAGGTAATAATAATGCATACTACACTTTGACATATATTTAACATCATTTGAGCTATGGTCCCATTGGCTGGATCCGGCCTGCGGGTCATAGGTTGCCAACCCCTGATATATGTTTTAGTTATTTGGTGTCTGGAGCTGCATTTTGATGATATATACAGATGAGACATACAGATATTGTTTTTCTCTAGTATATGGTACCTATGATGATGTGAGTCTCAGTGCCTTCATGGAGGTTCAGCTCAACACTAGCTTCAGATCTGAATGGGACGACACTGCCCTGCAGTTACGTGTTTTAGATTCAGATGGAGACTCTAATTCTGATCTTATCTACTGGCTTGTTAAATTTCCTGTAAGTATGTACAGATGTTTCTCTCTTTAAATTTAGTAATTTATACAGGAGAAACTTTCGTTTTTCTTTTTTGGCCACCCTGCCTTGGTGGGATACGGCCGGTTTGCTGAAAAAAAAAAAAAGTACACATGATAACTAGGTAATCTAAACAGGGATGCTGTGTTATCATATCACTTTTTCACTTCATCTCTGCTTAATGTTGCAACAAGAAAATTTATAACATATTTATTAATGCTCAATAATGTCGTGATAATTTTAGCTTACAGTAGAAGCTCGTAATATTTTTTTTTTTTTTTAAGGTTTTAATAATTTTACTTCGGGTTGGGATATTGGGTTCAGTGGGCCAACATAGGACTGCAGTGTCTCCTTAGGAAAGGCAGCTAGAGAGTGAGTAATAGGAATGTGCATTGTGTGTATTAGCAGCTGGTGTATTAAATAATGTAGTGTTCTATACAACAAGAGATTATAGGTTTTGTGACAACTAAATATTCAAAAGTTCTATCTAGAAAACTTTTGTAATTCCTTTCCCACTTTGTGGTTTTGGTGTTTTGTTTAGTACTCTGTATATACATGTACCATACTGTGATTGAGTAAACCTTAAGGAAGCAGAAATGTAACAATTAGAGCAGCTTAGATTCTGATCTCTCTGCTAAAGAGGATCTCAGTTAGAGTTCTAAATACAGTTCTTAATTTTTATTTTTCTATCTTCTTATGGTATGCTCAAACACTGACAAGTGTTCTTTACATTTCAAAGTTCATTCATACAGTACTGTTTATATAAAAACATTTGAAAAAAATTGTGTAATTTTAACCTCTCTGGTCTTTGTGTAAAATGTTGTCATTATTACTTTGTAATGACCATACCCCTTTTTTATTTTAGCACTTCTTTGCCAATCGGGATTATATATTTAAACGTCGTTTTTCTGTGAATCGAGAGCGAAATGAGGTTGTGGTAATGAGTGAAGCAATAAGTCCTGACTACATACCAGAAGAGAAGGGTATTCATCGTGTCAATGAATACTGGTCAACAATGGTCATTAGAGCCCATGAAGACATTCACAAGGTATGAATTTATTTAAGCTAGGTGTCTTGATGCAGTTTTATTTAAAAAGACAATCATACACTATATGTAGTTTAAAAACACTTCGCATATGGTCTTTTGGAGTCTAAAGCTGGAGACTGTATTTATATTCTTATTGGTGAACGTTAAAGTTGAATTACCTTTAGTAACAATAGTAAAACAGTCATAACAATGGTAATGGTAAGAATAGTACACTTACTGTCATCATGGTAAGAATAGTACACTTACTCTGTTATCATGGTAAGATTAGTACACTTACTCTATTATCAGACCAGGAGTATCATTATTAGACAGGACAGCATTGTCAACTTCATGTGTGGGTTTAATTATGAATATCATAGAGCTAATTTTTATTAATCAACTCTGAGCTTGCTGGCATCCCAAGAGCCAGAGCTCACTCACCACAAACTCAGATAATTATGTGCAGAGTATGCATTATTTTTTAAACTGTTTAAAATGTTCTATAAAATAAAATGTTCAAAACAAGTTCATCTTTTATACAAATCATTTGTTTTCACAGCCCGGCATTGAATACACTCTCACCTACTTTGACAATCCTGGAACCAGTTTACCACAGAGTGTGACAAATTTTATAGCCGCTACTGGTAAATATGCATTCAGAGTTTTGCCCTTGTTTATGAAAGGGAGGCCAAAGATTTGTTTGTAATATTTCTAGTATGTCAGCTGTTGTATAATTTCTTCTTTCTTTCAACAAACCGGTCATATCCCTCCAAAGCAGGGTGGCCCAAAAAGAAAAACAAAAGTTTTTCTTTTTAACTTTAGTAATGTATACAGGAGAAGGGGTTACTAGCCCCTTGCTCCCAGCATTTAAGTTGCCTTTTATGATACGCATGGCTTACGGAGGAAGAATTCTGTTCCACTTCCCCATGGAGACTTATTATTATTATTATTATTTGGCCTAAATGTAAGGGAGCAGATTTCAGTACTCTTTAAAAGTCTGTTAATGAGCAGCTGTATGATAATGAAAAATTAGTGGTATTTAAAATAGTATTGTTTAGAGGAGGGGAAATGAATGAAAATTTTGAATGTAACTGTCACTCCTACGTTAGTGGGAGATGGCCTTTTAGATAAAAAATAATAATGAACCATTAATTTAATAATTTTATGTAAAAAATGCTTTTACTACTGTGTATATTTCTATAATTTTATGAATATTCAGTAATTTGTACATGCACTGTCTCAAACTTTTTCAGGGTTTCCTAACTTCTTAAGAAAGATTCATGAAGCTGCTTTGAGTCTTCAGGCAGTCCATGAAAAGGGAATGGATGTGTATATCAGCCTTCCAAAGGAACTGAGGTATCCTACAAGGAAAATTGAAGAGCTTACTCTCGGAAGATCAGTAGAACCTGTTTCTCCTGTAAGTAAAGAGCTGGAAGTTGCAGATTCTGCCACAGAAGATTCCCAGTTTAGAACTAATGATAATTTACTAGAAGGTGAACTGCTACATATTCAAAAGAACACTATTGTAGAAAATGATGTCAAGGAAGATCAAGTCTCGCATGTGATGTCTCTGTTTGAGGTCGGTAATGCTAACGAATTTTCATTTGACTCACCCAGTAACAAATACAGTGAAAAAAATTTGTCAGAGGCTCAGGAAGTGTCCTGTAGTGAAGACTCAGATATACCTGTGGATAAATCAAGTGAAGTATTGCCAATCATGTCTATTAGAGAAGGAAAGGAAAATCATGGTGTTGAAGGTGATGGACCTCCAATTAGAAACATTGCAAGTTCCAAAATTGAGAATGATAGTGGAGACCTCTCCCAAGATGATTTGTCTTCATCTGATAGACTTCTTCATGTGCAACTGGGCAGCAGAAATGTTGAAGTTGATTTATTAGAGGGAATGGAAGTTGTTGCTCCTGATTTAGAAAAAAAGACACTCTTACTGAAAAAGATTGAAAAAATAAAGGCAAATGCACAAGGTGCAAAACATGGCTCAGGTATTAAAAAGTTAATATGTAAAGTAAAATCCTTTCAGGAACATGCACTTCAGAAAAGAGAACAGTCTATCAGAAAGATGGAAGAATTATCACGTAAGAGCCATTATGATCATTCTGGTATAGATGAAAAAACCCTAATGCAACTTAAGTTGCTTTTCCAAGCAATGAGAGATGTACTTCAGGCTGACAAGGATATCCGTACTGGAAAAAGTCTGAGGAATGTTCATGAGAACTACCACAAAAAAGATCATCCAGATACAAATGCAGAGAATTTAACATCTGAGACATATTCAGACTCTTCAGCATCAGAGCAGGCAGACAAGTCAAGACATGCTGAAGATGATAGAAAAGATTCAGTTTCACCACTTAGTGAGCAAAACTTGCAGCTAAATACAAACAAGACAAATAAAACTCTGAATGGAAATGCTAAAGATTCTCAGCCTCCTGATGGCCCTCCACCATGTGACTCAGGAGGCCTGCCTTTTTCAGTAACTATGACAGCCTCTTCAGAAAAGACAAACATAACTAATAGCTCAGAAGTTGAAGCCTACAGTAATACACAACTTGATCATAGTGTCAGTGAAAAGGAAAAAGGGGTCATGAACTGGTATTCTTCATGGTTATATGTTCCTAGTATTTCAGGTTGGTGGGGATCTGATAATGTACAAAGTTCAATTAAATATGAAAACTCAATCGATCCTGATAGACACAGCACAAAAGAGTTGTGCAATGATGAATCTAGCTCAGAGTCATTTATTGCACAAGTTTGGTATGTAGTTGGTCTTGGTTGGATCTTCCACTCTGAAACAAAATTAAATGTAGATCAAGTTAACCAGGAAAGTAAGCTGCAAGTGAAAGCAGATGAAAGCCCTGTCAGTAAAAATGACTGTGATAAGGACACTGATAGAAACTCAAAGTGGTATTGGTATCCCATAACCGGCTTATCTCGTGTTTATACATGGGCTTTCGGTACTTCCAAGGAAAATGCTTAGATTCATTTCAGATGCATTATGCAAAGAAATTGTATAATATTACCCAGCATTCTGCAGGTTGTGAAATAATATAAATTCAGAAAAATTGCTTCCTGAGTTTTTACTATTGTTTAGACAAAATACACTCAATATGAATCAAGTTTGGTGACTTCAGTATTCTTGTGGCAAAGAACATGTGAAGGTTTACAAGATTTTCATATATGTATTTATAATTTCTAGGTTTGAGGGATCTTGTTAAAGGTGTTGGCCATATTCATATAGTATTTGTGAGTAGTTATTAATAAAATACTCAGTTTCAGTTATGAGACGATCAAGTGCACCTTATTCAATACAATACTGCATATATAAAATAAAAGCAACATTTAGGAGTATTTCAGGTACATTAACATTAAATAATTAATTCATCCATTAAACAATATTGTATTATTAAATATATTAGTAATAGTGAAGTCCTTTGCTGATACAACATTTCATCTGAGTGGGTTTTTTCAGTACCTTTTGCCCACTCGTGGGTGAAATGTAGGACTTCGCTGCAGCTAGTGTTTTTCCAGAAAATAATTTTCCTTTGTTTAAAAAAAAAAAAAAATCCCATACATTCTGTAAGAATTTGTTGACTCCTGTCTATTGCTCTGAGGTTTTGTTTAATCTGGAAACCAGCAACCATAGTTGGATGGTTCCATATAAACCCCTTTACCATATATTTTGTATTTCTTTAAACATTCATTAATGACTCGTGACGCAGCACATGAAGCATTTGTCCAAGAATTCCACATTATAGGTTTGACTGTCAGTAAAGTGAAGTTGTCATTTACTTGTTTTGAGAAATAGGAATGTGTGAACAGATAGAAGATTGCCCTTAACTAGGAAATAAAAATGAGCTTGAGATACTAATAAGGAATAAAAGAAAAGAGAAAATAGAACAATTTTGTTGGATTTTTTTTTTTTTTTTTTTTTTTGGAGAGGAAGAAAATAGAATAAATTGCCAAGTAGCATTGTAAAGGTATGCAGTATTATGTCCCTACCTTTAATTAAATATTCCTTATTTAAAAAAATAATTTGAAACTAAACAATTCTCCTGCTATAATAAAGTACATAATTCATTTCCCACCTTACCTGAAATCATGAGTAATGGTAAGCATGTTCCCTTTTTCAGGTCACCCCTCCCTTGGAGGGAAATTACTGATGTGTTGAAACTGTGAATTTGGTATCTCAGTTTGTCAATTTCTTTGTAGTTCTTTTTTTAATAGAAGGAATTGATATGACTGCAGCTGATATCTGTAGTGATCTTTATCAGATGAATGACCTGAAATTACAAGAAGTCCTTGAAATAGTTAATCTTAATTAATCTTCAAAGTGAATGCAAATTGTAACAGTTTTTTCTTTTATGTAAACCAGTATCGTCTGTGAGAGGCAGAAGTGTGAAGATTTTTAACTATATGAGCAATGCAGTTTATGGTATTTGGAGCTTGCGTGGGTATTGGCATACTCTTCAATATCTGATAAACTTCAACATATTTGTCAGATGCTCAGTTGATTAGAAGGGTGTAACACTGACAGATATGTGAACAAAGACACAGGTGTGTAGAGCAAGCTTTTATTTTGACAGCATTATGCTTGAAAGAGCTCTACTTAGAAACTTTGTCCAAATAAAGACTTGTTGTGCATACTTGTCTTTGTCCACAAATACAGTGGACCCCCGGTTAACGATATTTTTTCACTCCAGAAGTATGTTCAGGTGCCAGTACTGACCGAATTTGTTCCCGTAAGAAATATTGTGAAGTAGATTAGTCCATTTCAGACCCCCAAACATACATGTACAAACGCACTTACATAAATACACTTACATAATTGGTCGCATTCGGAGGTAATCGTTATGCGGGGGTCCACTGTACTTACTTCACAGGCATTTCATAAAAATTATTGATTATTATCATTATCATTATCATAAGGGAGCACTAAACCCATAGGATTATACAGTGCATGTGGTGGAGGGATGGAAGGTATTCAGACTCAATTCAAGGAACTGAAGCACAGATCCAATTCCCTAGATCAAGATCCCCTCACCAGCATGAAGGAACCTTCCTTGAGGGGTGCTAAAAATTATTGAATTTGATTTTCAAGATTTAGTACAGTATAGGTAATTTTTAATTACAGTATAGTGTATTGGTTTTGAATAATTAAGAACCATTAACCTGCTGTTAGCAGCAACACAGTATTTCCTTTTCAATTCTTTTTGAACATTAAGTAAAGAATCCTATTTTATTCAGCATTTTGTTATACAAGTTTATTGTTAGTTATATATTTCACCTTACATAATGTAGCAATGCTCAGTCATAAGGTAGATTCTCTACCTTGTTTTGTTTACCAAGTTGTTCATAATTGGTGATAAAAGACTCACGAAAACAGAAAAACCTTAAAGGTTCCAATACATAATATTTTATTCAAGTGTAGTGAACTGTTCCAAGAGATTCACTTGAGAAAGTTCACTGCATGTGAATGAAATGTTGTACACCTCAAATAATAAAGGTTCTGTTTTCTTGAGTCTTTTTATCATTACTTGTTGGCTGTTGCCACAATTTCACATCCACAATTGGTAATATTGGATAATAGGTTTTTGCTGCTGTGTACATATAGTACTGTTCTGCCATAAATCTAGTCACAATGGTCTAGCCCTTCTTGGAATACAGTACAGTAAGTCCTTGAATAATGTCATTTTGTTCAATTTCGTTTCATCATAACAATGAGAAAAAATTTATTCCCGGCTGGGGCCACTGTCTGTGTGGAGACAGTAAAATAAAAATTCGTAAAGTATACGATAATACAAATGCACAACAATAAACTATGTGGTATGAAAGCGCTCAGCTATCCTTACAATTTTCTCTTTGCAAACATTTATTCCTTCATTTAACCCTTTTACAATGATTGCTAAATGTTTACTGTGCACCCCAGATGTCTTGGTCAGAAACAAAACTCAAAGTTTAAAGATGTTTGACGATGGAGAGAGAGGTGTGGTTTTGATAAATTAGACACATGTGCAACTCTTGGGTATCTTTATTGAGGAAACGTTTCGCCACACAGTGGCTTCATCAGTCCATACGAAGGAGAATCTTGAAGAACAGGAGGAGAATGAGGTAATCAGTCCAGGAACCTATCGATGATGTTAAGCGAGGACTTACTGTATTTTATGGCTGAATATTTTACTCTGCAGTGCTGGTAAAGCAAAAGTTGACAGAATGTATTGGAAGTGATGATTAGTTGCATGTAATTTTTGGTTATGAATTAATATTTACAGTATTACTTAAAAACTATTACTGTAATTTGTTTACATTTTTTAATTTTATAACTGGAGATGGCGAGAATATTTTGAGGAACTTTTAAATGTTAAGGAAGAAACAGAGGCAGTAATTTCATGCACTGGTCAGGGAGGTATACCATCTTTTAGGAGTGAAGAAGAGCAGAATGTAAGTGTGGGGGAGGTACGTGAGGCATTACGTAAAATGAAAGGAGGTAAAGCAGCTGGAACTGATGGGATCATGACAGAAATGTTAAAAGCAGGGGGGGATATAGTGTTGGAGTGGTTAGTACTTTTGTTTAATAAATGTATGAAAGAGGGGAAGGTACCTAGGGATTGGCGGAGAGCATGTATAGTCCCTTTATATAAAGGGAAAGGGGACAAAAGAGACTGTAAAAATTATAGAGGAATAAGTTTACTGAGTATACCAGGAAAAGTGTACGGTAGGGTTATAATTGAAAGAATTAGAGGTAAGACAGAATGTAGGATTGCGGATGAGCAAGGAGGTTTCAGAGTGGGTAGGGGATGTGTAGATCAAGTGTTTACATTGAAGCATATATGTGAACAGTATTTAGATAAAGGTAGGGAAGTTTTTATTGCATTTATGGATTTAGAAAAGGCATATGATAGAGTGGATAGAGGAGCAATGTGGCAGATGTTGCAAGTATATGGAATAGGTGGTAAGTTATTAAATGCTGTAAAGAGTTTTTATGAGGATAGTGAGGCTCAGGTTAGGGTGTGTAGAAGAGAGGGAGACTACTTCCCGGTAAAAGTAGGTCTTAGACAGGGATGTGTAATGTCACCATGGTTGTTTAATATATTTATAGATGGGGTTGTAAAGGAAGTAAATTCTAGGGTGTTCGGGAGAGGGGTGGGATTAAATTTTGGGGAATCAAATTCAAAATGGGAATTGACACGGTTACTTTTTGCTGATGATACTGCGCTTATGGGAGATTCTAAAGAAAAATTGCAAAGGTTAGTGGATGAGTTTGGGAATGTGTGTAAAGGTAGAAAGTTGAAAGTGAACATAGAAAAGAGTAAGGTGATGAGGGTGTCAAATGATTTAGATAAAAATTGGATATCAAATTGGGGAGGAGGAGTATGGAAGAAGTGAATGTTTTCAGATACTTGGGAGTTGACGTGTCGGCGGATGGATTTATGAAGGATGAGGTTAATCATAGAATTGATGAGGGAAAAAAGGTGAGTGGTGCGTTGAGGTATATGTGGAGTCAAAAAACGTTATCTATGGAGGCAAAGAAGGGAATGTATGAAAGTATAGTAGTACCAACACTCTTATATGGGTGTGAAGCTTGGGTGGTAAATGCAACAGCGAGGAGACGGTTGGAGGCAGTGGAGATGTCCTGTTTAAGGGCAATGTGTGATGTAAATATTATGCAGAAAATTCGGAGTGTGGAAATTAGGAAAAGGTGTGGAGTTAATAAAAGTATTAGTCAGAGGGCAGAAGAGGGGTTGTTGAGGTGGTTTGGTCATTTAGAGAGAATGGATCAAAGTAGAATGACATGGAAAGCATATAAATCTATAGGGGAAGGAAGGCGGGGTAGGGGTCGTCCTCGAAAGGGTTGGAGAGAGGGGGTAAAGGAGGTTTTGTGGGCAAGGGGCTTGGATTTCCAGCAAGCGTGCGTGAGCGTGTTAGATAGGAGTGAATGGAGACGAATGGTACTTGGGACCTGACGATCTGTTGGAGTGTGAGCAGGGTAATATTTAGTGAAGGGATTCAGGGAAACCGGTTATTTTCATATAGTCGGACTTGAGTCCTGGAAATGGGAAGTACAATGCCTGCACTTTAAAGGAGGGGTTTGGGATATTGACAGTTTGGAGGGATATGTTGTGTATCTTTATATGTGTATGCTTCTAAACTGTTGTATTCTGAGCACCTCTGCAAAAACAGTGATAATGTGCAAGTGTGGTGAAAGTGTTGAATGATGATGAAAGTATTTTCTTTTTGGGGATTTTCTTTCTTTTTTTTTTGGGTCACCCTGCCTCGGTGGGAGACGGCCGACTTGTTGAAAAAAAAAACAAAAAAAAAACTGGAGATGGGATTATTTTTAAATGTTTTTAATATACATATTGAGTCACCCTGCCTCGGTGGGAGATGGCCAACTTGTTAAAAAAAAAAAAAAAATTAGTAATGAGTGGAGACCTAAACTGTCAAATGATTCAGAAACTCCACTTAGTGTGTGATCTTTTATCGCAGTGCCATATGGTACAGTTTATGTATTACATTATTATTATTTTTGTTTTGGTGACTTGCTTAAAATGATTGGTGATAATTTTTAATAAACCTGTGTGAAAATACTGTTAATTTAATTTCATTCTTGCAAAGCTTACATTAATCATTTAAAT